TTGTGAAATGAAATCAGAACACCCAGATGAAGCAGGACTAAGAAGAACAAACTCCATGCAAAAAAACCGCAGGTGGACAACAGCTTCGAACCCAGAACCTTCTTGCTACAAGGTAAAACTTCTAACCACAGCACCACCACACCATTGCCCGATCCAGGCACAATATAAATACCTCCTCTATCCTCCTTTTTGCATGTCCCTTTGTTTATATACCGCTTGAGTCAGAGTTGATATCTCCTAGCTGTGTCTACATAGTGTGTGATGGTGCAGTAGCAGGGGTGCTTTCTTGTAACTGTACAGTAGTCCAAACATTAGCAATGCTGTATACCACACTCATGGGCTGTCTGGGACTGTGGGCCCTGCAAGTTAGTGAGACGTACTGTCACCAAATCAGGATGGATATATTCCTGGATGCTGTCAAAGAGAAAGTGGGAGTGTGAGATCCAGTGCGTGTCCAAGCATCCAGAGTTTTCCTTCATTTGAAGTCCCCATGGCTGCTCATTTTGCTCATTTCCAGCCATTTAATGTTTAATCTTGGGTACCTCTACATTAACTCCAAACAGTCTGTAATTCTTTCAGAATAACAAAACCAGAGAGCCTCTTCCTAAAAACGAGAGGATAGCTTGTGAACGCACACAAGTCCCGTTGCCGGTGTTGTGTCGCAAGTGGACAGACCCCACAACAAACCGCAACATCATTAATTATTCTGAATTTCTCCTCCGCAGATACGTAAACAACAGTATATGTACTGATGAAAAGAAATGTCAAATCAAATCAAATTTTATTTGTATAGCGCCAAATCACAACAAAAGTCATCTCAGGACACTTTACAAAGTAAGGTCTAGACCTTACTGTTATCAATATTATTACATTGGGAAAACCCAACAAATCCCCCTTGAGCAAGCACTTGGTGACAGTGGGGATGAAAAACTCCCTTTAACGGAAGAAACCTCCGACAGAGCATTTCAACCTCCTCTTGGTGGGCGGCCTTCTGCCTCGACCGGTT